CTCGAAGCGTGAAATAAACAATTCGCATTTCTGAACTATTCTACGCGGGAATACCATTAGCTATGAATATATATTCTTATGCTATTCGTAATAAATTCGTAGATCTACGAAAAGTAACCCGGAATATCTGTACGCGCTCCACAAACCCCGTACTTTCCGTACCAATCGATATTTTTCAATACATTTCGACTTCCTACAAACATTTAAATTTTTCAATATTCAAAACTTGATTTTACCCCTAAATAGAATGTGAGGCAGCGCTTACTCAACCATATTCTATAATATTTGCTACGCTATAATTTAAGAACAACCTGCATCAAACAACCGACTAAACTACATGTTACCGTATAGGACAAAGAAGACGCATGAATAACGGAGTATGCATTATTTGAATCACCAGTTGAGAAAAATATGCATGAATATTCTGTGATCATATTTGTTGTATAGTATGGAAAGTATTGAACGATTCTTGAAATTTTTAGTATTGATTGTGGTTTCATTCTTTGAATTAATATTTGAAAAACATTATTCGTCCAATATACATATGTGTGTTCGTTACAAATTTTCAGCCGTATTACTAAATTGAAATCGTGTTCCACCATTAGAAAATTAAAACAAACCTTTTGATCCCCACAATTGCGTGCGTAGCAAGAGATATCTAAGCATCGCGGCAAGCTTGTCGATTTTGTGTCAGTAATAGTGGTGTCATTTCATCTTTTTGGCGCACTGGGGTGTGGATTATTGATGCGACTTTGACTTTCGCAGGCATGAATCATTTCATCGCTTTGGCGCCCTGGGGTGCGGATTCTTGATGCGACTTTCACTTGCACAGGCATTACTGCTATTGCTGGTCCGTTTGCAACTGAAGGTTAGCGCTTATGTTCGCATCACCATACTCATCACCATGAACCCTAAACTGCCCTAAACCCTCATGTCATATGCTTCTTCCTTCCTCCTTTTGCAGCAGCTCAACGCACTTGCGGCGCAATCCCTGGTTCAACAACTCCAGCAAGCGAAGCAGGGTTTGACTGGCAAGACTGCGAAAGAGTTCACAAAGGGCCTCTGAGAACTGGAATAACTGGAATCTAGAATGTATTATTAGAATGTATTAAACTGCCAATCCCGCCCGAAGCCTAAGCTCAAAACAGTGCCGATGGCCAGCAACCAACCTCATCTTTCAACTCACATCGTGATTCCCAAGGCCTATAAAACCAAAGCATGAGTGATTAACCCGAATATGCAGGCTCCTCAGCCCCGCCTAAATCAACCCCAAGCCCAAGTCAGCATGCTCACAGCAGCACGAATCGCAAAACCCTAAACCCGAAGTCTTCTCCTAAAAGATATGAGTTAGTCAAAATGGGGGCCGATAGGCAATTACAGAAGAGCTTTGACTTCAGAGGCAGTCCTGTCCACACAAGGACCCTCGAACCTAAGGCTGAAGCCTGCGGGACAGATCCCGAACACAAAACTCCGAACTGCAAAACCACCCAGAAAACCTGAATCAAAACAAGGCAATGCAAGCCCCTCTGTCAGCACCTTGCAAAACACCCCAACGATAAACCCGTATTGGCTTTGAGGCCAAAACCCGAGCCCTTAATTCTGAGGTCCTGAAATCTGATGTGTCGCTGTCTTGGACTGAGCCTCTGTACAATGGGAATAGTGGCCCACTTCACCAGCCACTTTGCCTGTGGCCTGACCCCTGACCACAGGATGAAACCTGACGCACTAAACAAAGACAGGCAAAACTGTTGCAACCCCCTCAGAAGTTCTCCGAACACTTGGACAGAACTCTAACAGGAAAAGATTGGAATGCCTGAGGACAGCAGTGTTGCCCCTACAAGTAGTTGTAACTCTAATCGGAAAGCACTGCATGCGTCAGAACACCACACCTTTGAAGCCATCGAGCCTGGGAGCAGCTGAGTGGGTCAAGGGGCTTAGGGCGAGAGACTGCAAGCTCTGCCACTGCCACTGTATAGGGATATTACCACTGAAATCGACAAAAGGCCATAGCCACCTTTCTATCAACGATAGATGTCAGTTCTCCGATGCACAGCCGAGTCTTTTCGATGTCGGGGCTGGACGAGAAGCCGAAAAGCGACGGGGACGGGACGGGACATGGTACGCGACGGGAACCGGGACGAGACGACGACCAATTGGATGTCATGAAGTAGCTTTTCGGTAATCCTTTAATCCTTTGTGGAAGTCCAGGCCTGCAGCGTCCTACAACGACCACTAAGCTACTGCTACCACTGCTACTGCCACCACTGCCACGCTGACGACCACGACGACTCTGACGAGGACACTGCGACACTACGCCGCCCACACGACTACTACGACTATGACCACGACGAGACGATACGACAACTACGACTACTCTGGCTCCGGCTGCTCCTGCTCCTGCTCCTCTTTTGCTACTGCTGCTGCTACTGCTGCTGCCACCACCACCACCGCCGCCGCCGCTGCTGCTGCTGCTGCTCGTTCATCTTTCAACGTTTTGCTTGGCCGAGAGTGCCACGTGTTGAGCAGCGTGGAATTATATACATCATGTATCAGCTTTGTCTGCAGGCAAGATCAAACTCTTCCAAGATGACGAAGAGATGCCGATAGCCATAGCAATGAGCCCCGTCCATCCTTCTGCTGCGGGAAAGCAAACGGCTTGTCAAGTACTGTGCTTGCTAAGTAGAGCATCCACTGTCCATCCCAGCCCTGGCTTTGCGTGAATCTGCAACGTCTCCCTCAGCCGCTAGACCTCGACCTACGCACTGCTTCTTCGGCCCTTCACGCCTAGTCAGAAGTCGCCACGATCAACGCCGAAATGAGGTCGGGACTCCCAAAAATGTACCATCGAATTTCACGTGTACATAAACACGTATACATATACAGCGATTACATATACATATACAGTTCGGGGCGTCGGACCGACACAACAAGCCCTCAACCCTGGAGCACATTTCCACATCCCCAGAAGCCCCAGAGGCGAAGCCTGGAGCATCTTTCGGGATCCTGAGGGCGAGAGCTTTTAGCGGCTTTTGGACCATGGT